AAGAGGAATTTAAGTATTTAAAATATTGGGGCTTGGGGTTTTGTTATACATATATCTCTGGGCCAAATCTGACAGTCTTCACTCCAGTCCCAACCCTGCTGAGTCTCTTCAATTCTCCTTGACTCCAGTAAGAACTGAGAGCATGTAGCACCCTGGAGGACATTATTTCGCTTTATTTACCTACAGAGGCAAAACGATTGTTGACATCACTAAGAATGTTGTTCACATCATTAGTGGTGTTCACATTCCTCTTCCACCAAAGCCAATGGAAAAAAAATCTGCCTGATTTTCAGGGAGTGCAATAAAGCCCAGAAAACTGAGAACCAGATTATGCTTGATTTAGATCAGTATGTTGTGCTGGGGAGTGGGTGCACAAGAACCTGCCTCCCCTCTCCTACTGCTGGCTTGCTCATGGCCTGTCACAGTGCCTGCCCCTTGCCTCAGGGGAGCACCCATGCTGCTCCCTCCTTCAGTCAGAGGTACATGGGAATGGGGACAGTTTGGATATTGGCTCAGTCCATAGAGTGCAATCCAGGCAAAAGTGATAGAGTAGTGAATTTCCCATTGTAATAGTGTCAGAGAGCTTAGAGGAGGCACATACCTTCCTAAAGCAAAGCATCTCTCTCTATTCCCCCATGGACTAGATTTCTTTACACCAGCCCTTATGCTGGACCATGCCCCCATGACATCAGTTCTTATTACCAACTACAGGCTTTGGTCACTTTTTCTCACTAGTGATTTAAAAGATTAGTCTATGATCAACACTTCATTTTCATTACCATTCAGTTATTTGGGCCTTCTTTGGCATTTTAAGCATTTAGTAGAATTTAAAATATGGTTTCTCAGGGTATTAATGCTCTCTTCAATAAATAGTATGTAAAGGGTGAGATAAAGACTAACAGAAGCTTTAAGAAAAGCTCCATCAATTGTTGTAGATTGTAATGGAGACGAGTAGGCCAAGAAGTTCTTTTAAACCATTCATAGCATCTACTGATGGATTCATAATCAGCTGCAACATGCCTACAATCACAGCTTCTGTTAACATTAATTAACCCTTAATAAGCTACTGCCAGATGAACCTTTACTAGAAAATGTGATCCAAGTGTGGCCAGCTTGATTTATACCGTGCATGCAAATGATTTACAGTGTTCTATTTTAATGTTAATAAACTGCTTTTCTTCATCTGCATGCTAGTATTCAAAACACTACAGCTTTGGAAAGTGATGCAAGAACTTAATGCAGGAGACATCAAGCTGAGGGAGCTGCAAATAGGGTGGCCATCATAGAGGACAGTCCAATTGTCCTCTGTCCTCTCTTGATACGAAACCTGACGCCTTTATCTCAATATGTCTTGAAGAGAAAAATAGAAGACATAAAGGCGTTGGGTTTTATATCAGTAGAGGACAGAAGACAGAGTAGCAGAAAACCAAAATGTCCTCTATGATGGCAACCCTAGCTGCAAATCCCTCAATGCTGACCTCCTAAGGTATGTCTACATGTGCAATTAATGCAACTGAATAAACTCCAGCACAATTTGAGCCAGAGTAAACTAATCCAGACATCACCATCTATATGTGCATTTAAGTGCAGTAATTTATTCCACCGCTGGATAGTACTTGTGTCTGACAGGATTATCTGATGGCGCAGTAAATTAGTCTATACCACCCTAATTGCCACACGTGTAGTTAGTGACACTTTACTGCTTAGCAAGTTAGTCTACTGTGCAGTAAAGCACATGTGTAGACATGCCCCTAACAATCCATTTGTGACTTAGAGAAAACAGTCCCTCTTAGGAAAGTAAAAAGTATACTCAATACATGGTATTTCATCATTAAAAATACTGGTACATGGGACTTAGTTCTGTTTGGTGCTGAATGCTCTGGTGCTGAAAACTCTAGTGCTGATTTAACAAAACATTTAAGAAGTGATCTCATTACTTCCAATAGAAGAAATCACATATTTAAAATTAAATGAGTTCTTATGTATCTTACTGATGCAACATCTTAGGTAACTTGGAAGAGGTTGGAATAACTAACATGGAGCATCTCAAGTGCTGATTTTGTTAAAACACAAATTTTAATTTAGGTGATGTGCATAGAAACAGAATAGCATTGCTTGAAATAGTCTGTGAACTTCTTATTCAGGCTCATCCTGTTCTATAAAAGTCAGCATCGGTGTAGGCCTAGCAGACTCGTGTCTTTTTTTTAAAAATCAAACATGGGTATCTGAGTTTCAGCTATACAGCTACCGGTAGTTACAATCACCAGTACCACTGCAATACTTCCAGCAACTAGAATATCACCAATAAATATAACTAGAATACCGAAAACAGCAAAATGATTTTCATGTTTACTCAAATACAACTCATGGCTTTCTTCTCCAATTTGTATGAGGGAAAAGGCCCCTCACCTAAAAACTGCATACAAAGAAATTTCACAAAATACACTGTTCATCACTAAACTGCTGCCAAAGGCAACATATGCTCAGCAATGGAAACCAACTGTGAAGTTGATTAAATGTAGCCAACACTGATCATGACTATAAAATATATGATCCATATTAGATGAACATATTGATAGGGCCCCATCGTAGGTATAAGTTAGTATACCCCATTTGAATGAGTGTCGCAGCACTTGGGTGCCCTGCTCCTAAAGAGGGGAAAGAGCCCTAGCAGTGAGTAAGGAGCCCAGCTGGTGGTCACCAGGGCAAGTAGAGTAGTTAATGACCCACATCTGCCAGCGGTCAGCTGACTGAAGGGGGCAGGGCATGGTACATATAAGGGTTTATATACATATAAACCCTAGGGCTGAAACCAGGCATCCCACAGGACCCCACACCATGACAATGAGACATATTGTAGTGTCCTTTAAGCATAGTCCCCCCCCTCAGTGCTGACTCTTTTCCAAGTCATGGTGATCCGCTACATTGCATACATTTTTATTTCCTCCTCACTCCCATGATTGAATTGTGCCTTTCTTTCTCGTTTCCAATTATTCCTGTTTCTCCACCAGCCTTAAATGCCTGGCAAACATCATGAAATGGGGCCCCAAACTCTCTCTGTTGCCCCCTCTCTCAGACTGATACATATGATTTGAGTGACCTTGTCCTCCACCAGGTTGCCCTGCATCTTATCTGCATATAAAATTTTGGAGCATCCCAGGGCTCATGATAAAAACACCCGGTTCCAGTCATGAGTGGGGGTTAATTAGCATATGGCTCCTTTGTGGGGGGTATCTGGAGTATACACACATAATGAGTAGTGCTGAGCTATGGGGTCACCATGACTTAAAATGCTGTTGATTCTCATGAGGACCAGCCCAGGGAATTTTATGGTCCAATCTCCAAATCCAAATTGAATCAGGGGACCAATTGAAAGGTCCAAATCAATTCAAAGCTCTCCAAATCTTTTGAAAAGATTTGGAGAGTTTTGATGATTTGGGCAGTCCCTTGTGGCTGCAGCAGGGAGCTGCAGGGGGGGGCGGAAAGAGAGTGGAGGGACCCAGGGGGGGCCCCCTGCCTGCTCCCCCAGTCCCCCCCCATGGCTGCCCCACCCACCCCAGCTCCCAGTGCTTTAAAGAAAAGCCCCATTCACCAGGTGCTGCCAGGTGAGGGGGCAATCCCCACTGCCTCCACTGTCCCATGCTGTGTAGGGGGCTCTGCATGAGCCCCACAATGCACCCCAGTCCCCCCCACAGCTGCCTCACCCACCGCAGCTCAGGCCCTTTAAGGAAAAAAAACGGAGAAAAGCCCTGGGACTCATTGCTCCTGCAGCAGCCTCAGGATTTTGGAAGGCTTGTGAAAGAGCCCCTCCATGCAGGAGCAGTGGGGAGCAGCAGGGATCACTCCCCCTGGCAGGAATGGTGAGTCTGGGGTGGAGTCTGGGTCTTTTTTCTTAAAGGGTCGGAGCCATGCCGAGTGGGGCAGCCATGGGGGGTCTGGGACAGTGGAGAGGGGCTATGGGGCTCATGCAGAGCCCCCCATACAGCATGGGGCAGTGGGGGGCAGCAGGGATTGCCCCCTGCCTGGCAGCATCTACTGAGTTAGGGCTTTTTTTTTTCCCAAGTGCTGGGAGCTGGGGCAGGCAGGGCAGCCATTGCCGAGCTGGGAGAGTGGGTAGGGGATGGGCCTGTGTAATTCAGAGATTCGGCAGCAGCCAAATCACTGAATCAAATCACTGTCCCCCAAATTGACCGAATCCAAATTTGAAGCGAATACTAGCAGCTTCACACAGGCCTAGTATATGGCAAATCATAAGCCTTTGCGTTTGGACTAATATTATGTATAGTTTGTACTACATATAGGTAGGTGTCAAAGTACTGCTCAAAAATGTGTTTGTGGTAAAGCTTACAGCAGTTTCAAAAAAAGATTAACAGATATCAATTCTGGATGAAGTAAGTGTATGGGTACTATAAGCAAATTAGTACAGCCATGTTTAATTTCAAGGTTAATGTCTTTCAGTTTGCTCCTCACTTCCGTGTGCTCCAGGGAGAGTAGGATCTGACAGTAAGGAGAGGAGGAAGGGGCTGCTAGGGGAAGTAGTTAGGGGGAAGCAGAGAGCAATGGAGCTACCTGACCCCCCAGATTTATTTTCCCTGCTGTAGTAGTGGAAAGTGGACACTTTCAAGACAAACCTCCGATATTATATGCCTGGAAAATATATAACAAATGTATATATTTTCAATATATAAATCTAATTATTGGGGGTCATCTTATAATCAGGGTCATCTTGTATTTGAGTAAATATGGTATTATTTGTTTCTACTATAACTTAGAGGTCTCAACCAAAATCAGTATTAACTATCCAAGATGCCAAGCATATTCACAGAGTGAGAAAGTTCCTGCCCAAGAAAGTTTATAATCCAAATAGACAAGGCAGACAAAGGAAAGGAGGGAAAACAGGCAGAGTGATCAGTTTGAAAACTCCATTCCTAAAGAAAACAGAAGAGAATGATTGGCTGAGGTAGAAATACATATAATTTTTATGATCAGTGTTTCCTTACCCGTATCCTTCTTCTTTGTACGGGAAAGTTCATGAACAGTTGCTCCGATATCATTTCTCAAAGTCCTGATGATCTTGTCTAGAGAAGGAGTGTTTCTGCTATCCAGATTGATGAAAAATTCATACTCGTCTTTGTTGAGGCGGGAAGGTCTGGACTCAATGTGGGTCAGGCTTATACCTTTTTCCTACAAGAAAAAATTGGATAGAATCTTGGAGCTCTGTGCTGCAGGTAGAAATGCAAGGGGCAAACTAGCTGAAATCCACTGGTTAGTGCAGTGGTTCCCAACCTTTTTTATACTGAGGACTGGCAAGTTCACTCAAAGAATTTTGGTGGACTGAGTATAGAAAAATCTAATTTACAAATTTATTTTTTTTTTTTTTTTGTGTGGGGAGGGGGGTGCGAGGATCATCTCTTAGCTGTTGCATTTGATATGGAAGTGACTAGCCACAGTTACCATGGTCCAATTTAAAAAAACTGAAGTCACAGTCATTGGCCAAGTGAGGACATTCTCATCCAGCCAATCAGCATGGCTTGGGCATGGCCTGGGCATAGAACTGTTGCTAGCAGTGGTTAAAGCTCATGCTATGACCCAGCAGCCAGCACTTCGTGGCCTGGTACCAGGCCGCAGCCCGGTGGTTGGGAACCGCTGGTTAGTGAACAGTCCACACAAAGCCCTTTGTACCAGTGTAATGCCTGTGAGATGGAGCAATTGTACAGGAAAGCTCTGATCCCCTGGGGCGCAGTTCAGCCCTGTGGCTGGATGAATTAACACAAAGTCTATGCACTTCTGAAGCCCCAACACAGAGCCTGTGCAGGACTTAAATAGTGAATAAACTTTATATACTGGCCCTTTTCATGGAAGTGAATTTCACTTTCTGGTACATCAGGGACGTATGTCTGTGTGGGGGGAAAAAAATAATTTACAGAGAATCAATGCAGGATTTGACCACTAAAAATAAAGAACTAATAACTGCCACATACATTTAATTTATTTATTAACCTAATGAAACAATGTTTGGAAAAGCAAGAAGTCATTGGGCTGAAAATGTAAAAGCCAACTTGGCCACCCTTTGCGCCACTTCTTTTCATGTCCTCTCTCTGCATGAATCCACAGAGCAGTATGGTACTAAGCCCTCTAGGAAAATCAGGTTTATAATAATGATACAATTTGGTCTTTCAAAATGGAAAGTCAAAGTCCA